ATGAGCTGATTCTAAAAAATCACTGGTTTGCCACTATGAGTAGAGCACTGGGGTTACGTTCCCGCTTCTTGCTCACACTGCCCTTGGAGGTGAAGGCCGTCTTTTCAGTCAAACTCAAATCAATCTCATCATGATCTCGATCTACACACTCAAAATCAGTGACACCTGCACTGTTAGTTACATGACTTACATCATTAATTTTGTTAGTATCGGCCGCCATTTTGGAGAAAGTGGCCCTGCCGTGACTGCCGAGGCAGCACAGGCTCAGAGATAGTGAAAAAAAATAGAAAGAAAAAAAATAGTAATAATAGGGAATCAGAAAAAAAATTAAACAGAAACTTAAACTTACAATTTGTCAATTGGATGAAGGTACTACAAACAAGGCCCACAGAAAAACAATTATCGAATGCCAAGTCTCCTCAATTGTCAGGGAAAACGATCAATTAGCATCGAGTACCCCAAGAATAGAGCAGCTAATAACACACGTCCGCCAGACAGAAAAACTCGTAACGGAATCTAAAGGAAATATTGCAACTTAGTTACATTCACCTTTCGTGCATATTCCACACTCTGCGGGCTTTTCAGCCTCCAAAAATAGTGTCGCAACATTGCGAGTCGTCAACGCATAATGCTATTAATTGCAGGCCGACCCCGGCCTATGAATACTGATGACATACTACGTAATAATAAGGCAAACTGATGTAGATGTATTATCCCTAATTCTCCCACTCCGAACATTCATCAAGCTTCATCACTAACATAAATAAAATATACTTTTAAAAATTACTTTTTAAAGACATCACTTCTAAGGAATACAGTGTCTCCAATTTTACAGATGTACAATAAATTTCTCATTTTATTTTCGAATATTAAATTTTTTTTTCAATTCTTTTCAATATAGATGATATATAATATAATATAATCATATGAGCTGCTTCCAGTCACTGCCGTCGAACTTATCATATTTGTTCAAATTGTTTTATGTTTCATATCTTGAATCTCTTAAAATGATATAAGTTTCATATACATTTGTTACGTGCTCAGAGTCCTACATATGAAGTCAGTCGTTCATTCCTGGAGCGTGAACGTTTTCGGTCGGGGTGGACGTGGTGTATTTGGACTTCGCGAAAGCGTTTGACAAAGTCGACCATGGAGTGCTCTTCAGAAAATTAAGACTGCTGGGAGTCGGAGGTGAATTGCTGGCATGGACGCACAGCTTCCTAACAGAAATACTACAAGCTGTAGTTGTTGGAGGCTCGAGATCGAGCGTGGCTAGGGTGAAGAGTGGAGTACCACAGCCTCACAGGGAACGGTACTCGGCCCAATCCTCTTCCTCATCCACATCGCCGACATAGATGTGGCAGTGAACCACGCCACTGCATCGTCATTCGCGGACGACACCGGGATATTAATGACCATCACGGACAGGACGGACAGTGAGAGGTTGCAAGAAGACCTCTCTGCAATATATGACTGGGCCCTAGTGAACAACATGCAGTTCAACGGGACCAAGTTTGAGGTCCTGAGGTACAGAGGNAAGTCGAATTTTTTTTACTTCACTAGACGCTCTGCTTATTTTACAAAAAAAAATCTTTTTTCTTCTGGCGTAAGAAAAAAATATGGCGTAAGAAAAAATATACACATTTTTCTGCGATTATTCGTATTCAGCACGTTCTGTCTAAAGTCGCCAAATGGTGAGCTTCGACATTCATGTGGATGTTACTATAGACTATAGGGTCATGGCGAAATAATTTCATTTGATAAATTATTCCTATGATATAACCAAAAAATATAACTCAGTACTCACTGCAGTGAGTGACAGAAAGCGCATTTTCTCGTCGATGAAAACGTGAAGTCACGGACGGACACACAGATGGACGGACGACATGGCGAGCATAATAGTGCCTTTTTTCCATAAATGAGAAAATGCGCTAAAAACATACCTCGTCAGCTGGCTAATTCAACATGATGTTCAAAGACTTCTGCTACCTGTAATCTCAGCTGTGGATGTTACTATAGATTATAAAGTCATGGAGAAATAATTTCATTTGATAAATTATTCCTATGATATAACAAAAAAAAAAAACATTCCTCACCAGCTGGCTAATTCAACATGATGTTCAAAGGCTACTGCTACCTGTAATCTCAGCTATGGATGAGTCACAAGGAGAGCTCCACGTGGCAATAAAAAAAACGAGCGAAGTTAAACCTCTTCTTGGCCTGCTCTTCTTTTCATGAAATTAACCAGGCAATAGCGCGATTGCTCATAAAAATGAATCGGTGAGAAATCAAAAAATTTATCCGTTGTTTGTTTTACAACTTTAATACCTAATAAATAAATTCTAGAAGAAGAACAGGTTTGCCAGCAATAATGCGAGTGCTGAAGCTTTCTTTGATCTCAGCAAATGTCACAGCTTCTGTTACGTTTGCTAGTCGTATATGACTTCTAAGTCCCAGCTAAGGAGGAAGATGGCGGAGACGAGACTAGAGGTTTGGGGAACTGTACTTGGTGGAATCTGGTATACAACTGAAGGATAATGGCTTGCTGGCCTTACATGACATACTATATTGACAATATAGTAGTTCTACTTGAATTTGATCCTAATACGTAAACACGTAACATACTCATAGGCGGGCAGCTAGAAACTTCCATAGATAGGGAAGAGAGGAAATAATAGTCAAAATAAACAAAAATATCAAAAAACCAAAGAAAAGGTAAACAGGAAAAAAATAATGATAACTCAAAATAAAATTTGAAAAGCAGAAAAAATGAGAAAAGGAAATATTTTTTTTATAGTTGGTTTTGGAGGCTTCCAGTGCTTGTGCACTGCCCAGCCTGGTCTCTGTCACTCCTTTGATGAAAGACTATGCACCGTGCAAAGGGGCTCAATGGCCCAAGTACCTTATATGCAGCATGCATCAAACATCCAGACAATTGAATTGGTCATGTAGCAAGGTTTTCAATATGCAAGTGATATATGCGGCATGCCTTATAATAACATGCACAGTGTGTCAAGCTCAATGCTGTAATAAAGCACCCTAACAGCATGCTAAATTGCACAAGTATGCCAAAAAATAAAACAAAACAGAACAAGAAAGAAGAAGAAGAAAAGAAAGAAAAACAAGAAAAAAAAACAAGAAAAAAAATTTATATATATACACATTTTTTTTAAGTTCTTTGATTTGAAGGAGAAAGCACCCCCAGTTTGGAGCTACATCAGAGAGGCAGCTCCACTTTCCAGCAAATATTGCTGCAAGCATGAAAAGATTTGGTGACGCTGTTTGCTGGTGACTCCCCCACCCAGGGCTGTCTGCAGCCCCCCAAGTAAGTCCCTGTGCATTCACTGCACTTCTAAATATTGCTCTTGGGCCACTGAATCTAGCACAGTGTAATATGAAGTGAGCTATGGTGTCAACTACTTGACATTCTGGACAGACCCCCGTAGCTGCCATTCCAAACCGGGCACGGTGGGCACCCACGCCTGCATGGCCCAGACGAAGGCGGGCCACCGCACACTGCAGAGATCTAGTCAGGGAGCTATAATCTATATAAGTGATGCATCCATCAAGGTTCTCTGCATGATGCAACCCTCTTAGGGAGTCTAAAGGCTTCAATGTCCTCGTCACTGCTGAATAGTAGAGCACTGGGGTTACGTTCCCGCTTCTTGCTCACACTGCCTTTGGAGGTGAAGGCCGTCTTTTCAGTCAAACTCAAATCAATCTCTTCATGATCTCGATCTACACACTCAAAATCAGTGACACCAGCACTCATAGTGACAAACCACAGAATTTTTAGAATCAGTTCATTTTTAATTTCCTCATTTACTCATGATTTAAACCAGTTTCATATGTAGGATAATGCAGGTATCCAGGATACTTTACTGGTCTACATATAGGACTCAAAATTGAACTTGAGGGAGAGTCTAAAAAACTCTCTGCTTTGCCACTATGCCAGCACTGTTAGTTACATCATTCATTTTATTAGTATCGGCCGCCATTTTGGAGGTGGCCCTGCCGTGACTGCCGAGGCAGCACAGGCTCAGAGATAGTGAAAAAAAAAAAAAAATTGAAAAAATAGTAATAATAGGGAGTCAGAAAAAAAAAATTAAACAGAAACTTAGACTTACAATTTGTCAATTGGATGAAGGTACTACAAACAAGGCCCACAGAAAACAATTATCGAATGCCAAGTCTCCTCAATTGTCAGGGAAAACGATCAATTAGCATCGAGTACCCCAAGAACAGAGCAGCTAATAACACACGTCCGCCCGACAGCAAAGCCCGTAACGGAATCGTATGTGTGATTGTGTGTATGCTGCAGCTGTACGTATGCGACAATGATGCAACCATGGAAATGATGGGATGCAACTTTGTTTGATAGTAGTATTACAGTGCATCTTTCCGCGGCTGCTTTGCTGCATATATTAGTATATTAGTAAACATGAAAAATAGGTTCGGTATAATTTCACACAATCTTAGCAATTCTCAGTACCAATTTAAATATTTTTTTTCTTTTGTTAGCTGAATTAGCAATTACTAAGAAATTAAATCATTATAATTTCATTTTTAACTATTTAACGGAAATTTTACCCATGTCTCTGCTCAACAAAAGGAAGAACATAAGTAGTTTGTCTCAATATATAATTTTACTGTATATTACATGTTAAAATAACCAGTCGTACAAAATAAAAATAACATCTGTAAATTGTGGTATATATTACAAAATCGATCATGTTTTAACATTGATTTAATCAACCAAATAATTCTATCCATATTGATTACCGATATATGGAATGCTTGGACAGATTTAATTCGTCATCGTTGTCTCCAATCAATTCAGTTGCGCGCATACTTTGTTTTTATTCGGTAGATCATTTCATTTGCCACACACAAGACACATTTCGTTTGCCAAGTTGAATTTAGTACAAATGTTAAGTATATCTGTAATTTTCAATTTATTTGTAATGAAAATTTTCCATTTATAACATAATTATACTTTACGATTGTAAATGGCCTTGCAGATTTGCGAGGCCAGGCAGCGTTGTATGAACATGTTCTGGATACGTGTCTTGGCTACTAGTCTATTGCATTGCTAATTTGCTATGCCTATTTTGGGAGAAAACGCCTTAAAAATAACGATACTTAGTATTACAAATAAAGTCATGTTATTGAAATTCAGGTCATACTTCTACACGTACATACTTATTATAACTACATTAAACAAAACCAGCAGATGGATTCTAATATTTTTTTTTTCAAAATTGATAGATTTTAAGACGCCAGGTATTTGCCACTTTCAATAGACGTTCTTATTTCACGACTGCCTCAAAAAATTTGTGCAACCTCTTAAATGCAGACCAGTTTTATATTAAATAAATACCAATTTTGTTTACAACTTTAGACTGAGTTAAACAGTTCAGTTGCATACTACATTTTTTAATAATGAATCATGAGAGAAATTTCAAGTATGAAACTGCATCCTATCTCAGTGTTTAAACAACTCATCGTAAGCCGGATTAAGATTTGCTACTTCAGAAGCCATAGCTAGGAAGTTAACGAAACATCGCAAGCAGAACTAATGATTCTACGTGAATGTACTTGGATGTGGCGCTTTAGCCTCGATCCATTTTTACAAATGTTATAAATTGCTAACATATTCAAACTACATCTCTATTCCTTATCCAAAAAAGTCAGAGTAATGAGTTAAATTTATCTGCTGCATGCGCTGCGATTTTTCAGTGAGGAAGAAATCAACGCACTTCGAAGCAGTTCCCCAGAGTGGGAGCTTGGACCCCGCCTTCAGACTGAAGAGATTTCTTGGCGAGAGTACCTTTCGGAGGGCAGTTCACGTTCAATGGAGGATCAAGAGAGCAATCTAGTGACATGTCACTGCCGTCGTGCTCGTTGACAATTCCTGAGTCGCAGTGATGAGCAATTTGAGTGAGTCCGATGGCATCTTCTGAATTCCAGTCGTGGGGCTTGGAATCCGTGTCTCGCGGCGCTGCATCTTGGGCTTGCTTAGGAAACTGATTTAATTCAGCGGGATTATCGATTTGAGTTGTCACGTCATAGAACTCTTCGCAGGGTGAGGTGACAGCGCTTGTGCACGTTGATGCTGAAGGATACAACGTATCAATGGAGGGGCAGGTGACAATGGAAAAGTCTTCGCAGGAACCGGGGCATGACTCCGACTCAATATTAGATTTAGCGAAACGCACGGACGGTACTCGCTGAAAATTTTGGTTGCTATTGAAGCTGCCAAAGCAAAAACGAGATAATCTGGAATCTTTCATCGTCGAAGAGATTATTTCAACTGGATAGCCATCAGTTTCAGAATGCACAAATGCTTTAGTTTCAATGTTTCGTTGTACTCCAGGAGTAGTAATATGCTCTTTGAAATTCAGGTTATCCTCAAAAGAGCTACCAGAAGACTGGCTTTGGGCCTTATCTTGTGTTTTCTGACCTTCAACATCTATCTGACAGACGGAGGGGATATCGTTGAGTGATACAGCGCCACACATTTCCGTGTACCCACACAAATTATCGTCAAGGCTGGTCTCTTCGGGCTGAAAGTCACACCCATAAGAACTACACACAGCTCCATCGTCAAGTTCAGTCGAGTGATCCAAGCACAGACCATCAAGATTTTTAGGCGACATATCTACATATTTCTCGGCCGAGGCGTGGAAGGAGCATCGTTGAGTCTTCAGTTTCGGACGCGTAACCTGTGACGCTGGAACCATAAGAGGCGATGTTATATTTTGCTTTAGATTTTCAGTTTCCATGCCGACCTGCGAAGGAGTAAATCCTAATGGACTGAGAGGCAGATTAAGTTTGCACTTATCAAGCCGTTGTGGCTCATTTTCTTTGAAATCTATTAGCGGCCTTCCTTCAGCACCGTTTTCCGCATCACTCACTTTACGATTGGCTTTCAAATTCTCAGTTTCTTTCGTCGTCTTTACAAGCTTTACGGTTGCAAGAAAATTATGGACCAAAGATCTAGCTTGAGGCTTCTTTGGCTTAATGGATTCTGGATTGAGGAACTTCTCGGCTTCACCCTGACCATCTCCGTCAATCTTCGCAGAGCTGCGCGAAGGAAGCACTCGCCTCTCCCACTTTTTATCAGCTTGCATGTCATTTCGAAGAAGATCAACGGAATTATTTTCACCCTCGCCTCGAGAGTTTACCTTGGCTCGTGTACTCGTCATTTGCCCTGTGTCGCCGTAGCCTGCACGGTGCCTGCTGTTGAAGGTGGGGTGCCTGCTGCTGAAGGTGGGCGGCCAGCCGCTCCTGCTGAGGAACCTGAGGCAGCCCTGGGCGCGGCTCAGCTCCACCTGATCTGCGAGGTCCTGGCAACTCTCAACCTCGCTTCTGGAGCTCCCAGGCATGGACCCAACTCCCTCATCCTCCGTACTCTCGGAGTCGTGGTGTTGGTGCGGAACACAGAATGACAGGCGACGAAACTCCCTCTGAAACAATTTCAACGTACTTAAGTAGTATATTAAATCTTATAAACTGCAATTCATTATTTTCAGTGGAAATTCACCAACTATTCCCTAAACCATTCTTGTTATTCATGGAATAGCATAATTATTAAGGCTATAAGTCTATAACATAAATAGTGAGTATTAAATCCAAGTTGTTACATGAGAGAGCCCAACTGTAGTTTTTACCGGGCATCTCAAGTTAACTGCTTGTTGGAAAAAATGAATTTCCTCCTGAATTTCAACTCACAGTAAATTCTGGTGAAATCATGGGGAGCAGTTGCTCAACAATCTGCTCAAAGGAGGGGCGCAGATCCTGATTATCCAACCAGCAGCTGTTCAGCAATTCGGCCATCTTGGCCGCCCTTCCCGGCCCCTCGAGCCACAGACACGCTCTCTGCACATCCTTCGGGGCTGGTGTCTCCTGTTACGTAAATGACAACAAAACTTTTCATTTTATTTCTCACTTCAAATGTTGTGTCTAAACTGACCACTGAGGATCACTGTTCGAGATAGTTAGTGAGGTAGGGTTTTTTGTTGTTAAATAATATCTAATAAGGCGGGTATGATATATTCAGTGGGATTTTTTTTGATTAAACTAATCACTGAGGAGCAGCGCATGATATACTCTGTGGGACTTTTTTCTTGTTTGAACTAATCACTGAGGAGCAGCGTATGATATACTCAGTGGGACTTTTTTCTTGTTGAGCTAATTGTTGTTGTTGAACTAATCACCGAGGAGCAGCGCATGATATACTCAGTGGGACTTTTTTCTTGTTTGAACTAATCACTAAGGAGCAGCGTATGATATACTCAGTGGGACTTTTTTCTTGTTTAAACTAATCACTGAGGAGCAGCGTATGATATACCCAGTGAGGTAGGTTACCTTGCCAGCATAGGGCTCGTTGGAGCATGTGATGAGCTGCCAGAGCAGCACTCCGTAGGACCACACGTCGGACTTCAGGAAGAAGACGATGCACTCGTGGCCTGAGTGCAGGTCTTGAGTGCGTCGTCCCTCGGGAGCAATGAAGCTTGGAAGGTAGATTTTGAGACGCTTCCGATGCGGCACATCTACAACAATTTAACTATATTTCTACTAGCGATACAGAGGGTAAATGTACATGAACATGCATTTTCTAACAGCTAAGAGTTGCGCAAAATTTTTATATTCACCGTATATTTATGGAAAACCTTTCGCATTAGTTTGAACAGAAGCCTAGCTGAAACACTTCATTTAGGTCTACAGTATTATTTCCGATTGCTATGTCTTGTAGTTGGTAAATTAACTTTTGAAATCTGCTCTGTAAATTTCATAACTGTTGACTGACGAAAATTGTATTTTAAGAGTTTTGAAATAACAATGCATCTCAACTCTGAAAGGTTTTCCGAAACGATATAGTGATTTAAGGTGGCTGTTTCTTTACTTTGAATTCTCGTCAAAATACCAAGAAGCAATAATTTCATTGAATATGAACACGTCAAATGCATCCCTGATCGAACATAGTATTAACTTAAAACGAAAAATCAGTAATGGGTGCCAACCCGCATTGGTTTATTAGAGCAGCATTTAGTTGACCGACATGAAGGGAGCGGCGTTTGGAAAGTATGTAATGTCTTATTGCATTTAACCCCCTGAATTATAAAGAACTTGAAAAAAAGCAAAATCCTTTATCCATTGCACCGCTTAAGTTGCTACCCTTACATTCAATAAGAGAATTTAACTGAAAAATCGCAAAGAACTGAATGATATTTTTGATACTCCGAAATTGCAGCTCACCGATCTGGTAGTGGTAGCAGCAGCGTTCAGGAGCCAACTTTCGTGATAGACCAAAGTCTGCGATTTTAACTAAGAATCTTCGAGTGATAAGGCAGTTTTTAGGGGCCAGGTCGATGTGGATGATTCGATTGGACGCGATGTATGCCATGCCGTCCGCTATTTGAATGGCAAAGTTGTACACCATCTGAACAACGGACAAGGATGACAACAAACATTTGAATCTTAATAGGAAAACACGTAGGTAATTATGAACTAACAAATGGGATACATGCAATACAATTATTTACAGAAGTGAAGTATATAGCTTCAAGTGAAATAAGATGCATAAAAACCCATGGCAATAAAGATGCAAATTATTTTATAAAGTTATCGATGAAACGTTTATTAACTTATTTCTGAGGCCACGAGAGATTAAATTAACAGAACCACACAAAAAAGTTCTGAAAATCAGAAATGTCTCATTTATTCAACTTTAAAGATGTTTGGCTGCCAAAGCAGGAGCTCAACTGGTTTTCTGGTCCAAAAGTCTGTAGGAACGAACTACCAAACATAGTAGTTGTAAATTTACGAAGTAGGCTTCAAAAATACTTAACACGTTGACTACGAAGTGGTAGATATGTGTACCACGAAATGTATTTCTCCAGGACGTAGTGGTACATAATCCAGTTGCCTAAAATTGGCCAAATCCGAGAATAAAAAAGGCCAAAAAAAGGCCGATAACTCAAAATATACATACTAGTTTATTTGTAGGTTCTGCTATAAAAGTTCCATTCATTTTATTTTTTCACTATTTAAAGTTTAATTAGGAAGTACCCCTATCATTAATTTTAGCCGGCCAACGCAATTGAGAAAAACTAAATCACGGAATTTGTCCGGAAAAAATGACCGTCCGGCAACCCTGTTTAAAAAAAAGTACAAAAAATGAAATAATAGTACAAGATGAAGCAATCGTAGTCAACGTGTTAATCGATGTAAAAATACGTAATAAGTACGGAGAACCACTGCCGCGTGGCATTTAATGGCAGACGGCCATTACGTAAGTAAAATCCGAGACGGCCTTTTCGATAGGTACATTTTTACGTTTCCATGAAGATACGGTGTATTTATTGGACATTTTCTCTGCCTTTAAATTTTTTATGAACTTGTGATTTAAGCAAACTAATGATATGAGTACTCAAAGCTTTGAGTGTCGAGACCTGCTCAGTGACGTGGTTGTTCCTGATGAATTCTTGGAGGTTGCCCCCGTCCAGGACCTCCATGAGGATGTACATGTTGGGTCCCTGCACCACAGCTCCCTCGAAACGAACCACAAACGGACACTGCCTCAGGCATCTGGCCAAAACAACGCTTGTTTAGTGAGATACGTTAATGTAATAAATACGGGATTATTCTTATGATTACTTTCCACATTGATTAATTAAATTAAGCAATTATAATCAAAAATATTTGCTGCAAAAGATACAACTTGATAAAGCACGAAATTGAAAATTTTTTAACTAATACTACGAAGCTTTATATCACTTGGGCATGCAGTTATACACTTCTTCTGATGACTTTAACAATAGTTTTAAACCCAACTCTTTTTCGAGCATAAAAAGATGCTGGCGTCTCTGTTGAACATCTGTTATCTCTGTAACGCCACTCACTGCAAGATGCAGCAAGATGCTGGCCTCTCTCTTGCATCATATTTTCGAACTCGTTGTCTCTGTAACGCCACTCACTGCAAGATGCTGGCCTCTCTCTTGAACTTCTTCTTCCTCAGCTCGTACTCTTCAAAGGTCAGGTCTGGCAGGTCGCACAGAAGCTCCTTCACAGCCACCCGCTTGCCCAGCCTCCACCGCCCGCCATCAGAACGTCTTGCCAGCTCCTGCATGCCTTCATGACGGCCGTTGTCATCACCATCTCCTCAAGAAAACAAAAAAGAACAATTAATGACTACAACACCAAAGAGTGTAAATGAGCTGGGCTTTGTTACCTAAAATTCTGCCGATCGCAGAAGGTCGTAGTTCCAAAAATTTTTGGGACACACAGCTTCTCGTGCAGTTTTCCGAAAGTCAGATTGTGATCACAACAATTAGAAAATAATAATCTAATTCTTTCCAGTTAATAGTTAATTAACTCCAATTAATAACTTCTATTCAGTGACCAACGAAACTCCACACTCATAGGAATCGGTATCATTATTTTTATCGGAATAATTATATTACTTGTGATCTGAAGGCTCACCGACAGGCTCCGCATCCTGCCCCGACGCCGGCTCCAAAATCCAGCCCAGGGACACGGCACCAAACTTGCCCGACCCGAGGCGGCCTCCTCGCTCCGGGGGGATGATCAGGAGCTGGTCCGCAGGGATGAAGAAGTCGTCGTAGATTTCCATGGCTGGCGAGGTCAAGATATTCACGTTGTTGAAGCAATGCAATTTGATTTCTTTTTGTTAAGGTCTGCTCATGTCATCCGTGAGTATAAAAGTAATTTTTCAATGGTTTTGCACAATTCTGAATGAATGTCGATAACTGAGAATGAAACAAGAGAAATATCAGTTGGGAAATTTTTGGTGAAGAGAAAATTCAACCAGAACAAAAGCACAATATTTGTTGAGGCTATGGAAAGTTTGTTAAAGAGAAAGCTTGCCACAAACGCAGGCCACTGCTTTCTGAAATCGAAACCGGCTTCGCAAGGTGACATTTCGTGTATAAAAAGTGAAATGAATAACATCCAATAAACAATCAAAACATCGTGCCATTGCAAAAAGCTCGTCTAAGACGTCTATTATAATTTTCATTAGTACTTTATACATATCACTATCTTGATATGATAATAACTACTAATAATATGATAATAACTACAACTCCCACCACTGGAGCCATCAACCAGCATCACGTACGTGCATAGCTCGGGTTATGTTGCTTTTCGAACTCGTTGGGCGCGAGAGAGTAACACAAGCGATGTCTGAGGTACAGCCCCACGACGATGATGATGACCAAGAAGACGCAGCACAGCACCAGCAGCGCTGCCAACATTGACTGTGATCCCTCAATTGTGAGGGATTGTGAGGCCAGTCCCACTCTGGGACCGGGACCGGCGTACGTGTAGGCCGTGATTGTGACCATGTGAGCCTGCGCCTCTTGAATGGATTTCAGGACGACTTTGTGGGTTGAGCCGCTCAAGCATCGGGTTAGAAGGCCCGGTATTTCGAGAGAGTAGTTAAGAACCCATCCACCGTTTGGCGTCGCAGGAGGAGTCCACGATAGTAAGTAAGAATTAGAAGAGACATCCAGAGTTTCGAGGCCAACATTTATGGATGCGTTCGAGGAAAGATTCACTGGTTCGGCATGGTTTGTCGAAGATTCATTAAAGAAACTATTTGCAGCTAAACCAAGTGATGTGTTTATGGTCTCAGGATTTCCTTCATGCTTGCTTCCATTCTGGACTGTGAGACCGTGGCTCTCTTGTCCTGCTTTGAGCTCAGCGTCAGGGAAGTCGGGCGACACGACGAGCAGATGAGGATCAGTTAGGCTCTTACTCGGAAGTTTCACCAACTGCAGATCGCTCACAGAATCCAAAGATTCTATTTAGAAAAATAGGTTATAACAGCATGATAAACAGCAGGGGTATCTTTTTAACAGGTTTTCAATTTTAATGATACATTAACCTTGCGTTAGAAAATACACAACAAACAGTGCGGGTCTTCACATGCAACACGATAGTAAAACAAATTATGAATATTAGTCATATATAATCCCTAAATTTAGCAATAATGGCCCTCATTGAAAATTCACGACCGAGCTCAATGAAAATTTTTGAAATTTACAGAAAATGCGACATACTATCGTCCTAGCGCGTCTATTCTAGGCCGATAAGGTTGAAACTCCAAGTAAATAATAAAATGAAATCTACCTCGAGACGCTATTCAAGAAAACATGTCATGTCAAGTTTCATATTCCATATTTTATGAAAAAACTCACGCACTGAAGTCACGGTCAATATTGTAATAAACTAATGGTGCCGTTAACGTGGCCCGTCGTTTAATAGTTTTCGAATTGAAAATCAATTACCAAGACTCGGGGACGTGAGGGAGATGTTCACCCACGGGGAGCAAAGGGCCACAGGGACGCCGGTGGGGAAGGGAGCGCCGACGGGAGCTGTGAGGTTCGTATGACAAGCGCGCACCGACACCTGACAAGGACGATGAATCTCTGAGTTCCAGCCATAAAATTGTCAGAAAATACGGAACATAAAGTAACCTGCTGAAAATAAATTCATAAATGACTCTAAATGTCAGGGTAACCATGAAATAAATTAAGCAAATTTGTAGGATACCTGCCGGCAAAACGTGCGATCACAGGAATAAGTGGGGATTTCCAGCGTCACGGGTCACAAGAAGCGAGCTTAAGCTTGAGGCTAATTTGGCGGTTAATTCGTTTTATACGGCGATTACTGAGAACAAAATTGCATAGTTACCTTTTGAGAGGTACGGTGATGTATATATACTTCTTCTCCACGTCAACTGCTGTTCACGTGACAGTTCGACATGATGAAATCTTACATGGTTCACTATTGTATTTGAAAGTTAAAAAAAATATAACTCAGTACTCACTGCAGTGAGTGACAGAGAGCGCATTTTCTCGTCGACGAAAACATGAAGTAACGGACGGACAGACGGACGGACAGACGGACATGGCGAGCACAATAGTGCATTTTTTTCGTAAATGAGAAAATGCGCTAAAAACTAGTATCAGCTAACAAAATAGTGACAAACCATCAGAATATAAACATATTTAACCTGATGTTAAAATTCAGAATTTACTCATAAGGAACAACAGCGTTTAAGCAATGGAACAACCAATGTGGGTAAAGCCGTCAATTATCGACGCACTTCCTGTGCCGCTTCATAGGTTTTAGTTTCGGCCCACGTAGTTGACGGAACTTTAGTTTTCAAAAAAAAAAAAAACTGATGAGTACGTATGTACTGTAATTTTACCCCAGGTACTCACTAAGATAGCGACATAAAAAAATATTTCAAGCGATGAAGCTCTTTTCGGGCTGCGTCTGCACCGACCTGGAAGTCCACAAAGTAGCCAAGTCCGGGGAAGTGGGTGGCGTGTCTGCCATCGTGCGCGTGAGGGATAACATGGACCGCACAATCTCCTGTGGGTATAATAATTTATAACTTTCCAGTACTCTTCAAACAGAAAAGATATTGTATGGTCAGGCAAGAAAAACCCTACAAATTTCAAGACAATGAAACTTAGAGCGCTGGAAATAAAAATCAGGCAGACATATCTTTCCAAGAACATTAAACTTGAAAATTTAAATCATGAATTGCAAAAAAATTCTAAATGACGTCAGAACACAAGAATCAAGCATTAACACACAACAAGATACAATACACATATTTCTCACCGCGGTCAAAGGCGACGAGGCTGTAGAGCTGCCACTGGATGGGGCCGCCTTTCGTCCCGCAGAACTCCTGCTGCTCCAGGGGCGCCTGGTGGACGTACTTATCTTCTGACGCAGGCTCGTCTGGGGCCAACGACGAGGAAGGAACGTCAGCCACCTGACTATGAGGGTCAGCTGATGGCGGCGACGTCGTCGTTTGTGTTTCTTGCTTCCCTGTTTTGGGCGACCAGCCGCTACTGTTTGCCAGGAACAACGTTCAAAGTTGAGGAAATTACTAAACGAAAGCAAGAGTTCTTCGATGTCAAATGTGTGGAGCTGCTCGCAAACTATTTGGATGGAAAGAAACTTCTGTTCGAGCGATTTGAATTCAACGTGATTTTTCTAGATTATTAAGATCAGCTAGGAAACAGATGCACTTCCAGGAAGTATTTATGTAAATCGCTAACTCCTCAAACTAAATGATTTAAAGTGAGCCTGATGAAGGACAAAACTATTGAATCTCATTCAATCGTACGTACGACATTGAAGATTATCTGGAAAGTACATTCGAATACATATCAGCAGACACTTACTTATATATGTCAGCGTTAATTCTACTGAAGAAGTAAACGCGGTCCAGCATTCGCTTGTTTTCCAGCCACTCTGCCTCTCCGGCGTCGCACTGGGGGCTGTAGCAGGCCTGGGCGCCGCCCTGGTGGCGGTCCTCGGCCTCCTGCTGGGGCTCCAGGGCCTGGTGTAGATCATGGTGGAGCTGCAGCCCGACGGCCGAGTCTGGCCCTGGAGTGACGACTCCGTCTTTCTCCATGGCTGGCGATGGTTGTGTTACTGTGGCTTAGGGAAATAATATAAAAAAAATAATCATAAAATTGACTGGCAACTGAGAGGAATGAAAACCGCAAATTAGGCAGGCTTTTAATTGCACATTAAACTATGTAGTTTTGATCGCTGCTAACAACCCCCTTTAGAACTCAGTGTACCTGCATATCCTGCAGATGCAGCGTCAATATGCATCTTAACCTCGTCATACTTGGACTACGAACTTTGTGCTGTTAGTATATACCTATTCTCTTTTACCTTTATACTATCAGCCTAACGTTGTTCACATGTACAATTACCAAGTGCACTGTCCATTGCAACTGTAGGAGTAAAGGGCTTGAGAATGAACAAATACAGGCAACTGTTGTGGTACTCACGACAAGCTCCTGCAGTAGACGAGGGCAGACCTGTTGGGGGCGGGGGCCTCTTGAGGCGACACAACATCACCTGCACACCCAAAACATCGTGAACACTCCCGCAAACACAGACGTAAAAGCCTTTTTGAACTGCCACGTTAACAGCAACGAGAAAACGGCCGCAATAATCATCGTTTATCGATGGTTATTATTATCCTCACTTGAACACTCTCGTGATCAATCTAATGATAAAACCAGTAAAAACGCCAACAAACACCTTCATGAACATTGTCGTTATTACCCTCGCTAATTTTTCGATCCCACAATTGAACCGATGATCGTATTTACCAATGAATGACTTTACACACCGTTAAACTCTTCTGAATTTTGGCGTAAAATTCTTAAACTTTTTTTCTGCACTCTTTCTACCTAAAGCTTCGATGACAGAAGAAAGGACCCACGATAAAGGGTGCAAAGTGATGACATCAAAGAGTTTTCGTCAACGCAACATTCGCCGTGCACCACAGGATAATAAACAACTTACAGCATTTGCAAGTTAGTGAAATATATACGTTATTGGGAATATTGTATTAAATATCATTAAATAATTATTATCCATACTCTGACCTGGTAGTCAGCTAGTTGCCCGCCAGGCTGCCTGGGCGGCAGCCACGACAACGCCACCGAGTTGAGAGCCTCTGCCGTCTGCCGCACCTGCACCTGCTGGGGGGCTGACGGCGCTGCGACCAAAAAACCACGAGGAAAATACCGTATATAAATGGTTAATACATAAGTATATAACCGTATAGGTGATAATTAAAATATGATATATCTTATGTTACGACACTAATAATTGTTTCTAGTGCAGGTATGGTACTGCAGTACACGCACGTACCCTGAGGTATGGTACTGCAGTACACGCACGTACCCTGAGGTATGGTACTGCAGTAGACGATGGTAGACCGGGACCCGGGCATAGAGTCGTGGTTGTTCTGCACGAAGGACGGCAGCACGTCGGTCTCCACGTAGAAGGCGTAGCGCGTGCCGGGCTGCAGACCACGCAGGTGCGCCTCGGACGCTGGGGTCTGTACCTGGCGCCAGAGCCTGGCAGCAAATCAAAGAGATAATAGACCAAGTCTAGTCTTCAATTGAAGGCTTAATCAATCGTAGGAACTAGAAAGAGAGAAGTGAAAAAAACGAAGATATTTTATGCGTCTTTTCAGTAACCGAGAACGTGCTCGCTTTACCACGACGATAACAAATAAAATATGATAAATTCAAACTCATCATTGTAGAAATGGACTAAAAAAACTTTTGGACGAATTGACTCGATAATTTGAATCCAAACAAAAACTTCCATGAGATTCTCAAATAAAAAAAATAATTCATGCTATAAACAACAATGATTTCCGGTTTAACACTTCTATTCACTTCTATTCCGACACTTCTATTCTATTCTTAATAAAAACACTTGGCCCAGCGATGCCCTGCGACAAAAACCTCCTGTCGTTGCACGCGTCCCTGCCGGCGAACATGGTGACGGTCTGGGCGGGGGCGAGGGCTCGGTAGTAGAGGAAGTACCCCTGCAGGAGGTCATTGTTAGGACCCTTGTAGTTGTTAGGATCCCAGGTCACCGTCAGGGACCTGCTGGTGCTGTTCACGCTCAGGATCTTGATCGGCGACAGGTTGCCTGGGGCGAATAAAAAGCAAATTTCGTGTTCTGAATACGCGGTAATTCAGCGTTAAAGTATGAGAAACTCCGTGTCTCTGAAATACGTGATAATCTAAGAACTAGCATAAAAAAATTAAGTATACACAATGAAATGCGAGAAGGTAATTTCATTACTTTGATCACACCATCTGAATTTTGCTACACTAAGTGTCATATTAAATCTTTATGCCTTCTTTAGCACAAATATGCAAAAAATAGCTTTTAAACCGAATCTAATCGCTATATACCACCATGCTAAAATATCCTATCAACTCAAAAACAACACGAATGTAAGATGGAAAAACATTGAGATAAGCAGGTAGGCGGACGACGAAGGCGGCACATCAGCATGACCATGGAGAGGACTTGACACGAAGACTCACACGGCACGTTGACGTCGTTACGTTCGTTGTGCAGGAGGGCGAAGGCCTCGTAAGAGTCGCGCGTGATGTCAGTGCCCAGCAAATTGACCACCTCGGATGGACAGAGTTTAGAGTTGCCCCTGACCATCACCCGGCCATTGGCCACCAGGCCAAAATCGCGAGGAAAGTCCTTTGTGAAGTGAGGGCGAGGCCGGCGTAGTTCCTGGAGCTTCATGTTGTCCGAGATGTAGATGGCGTGCCTGGCAGAGAGGAAAAGTAGAGAGAAGTCGTCGCGATCAATTACAATTCCATCAACGTTTACTGAAATCTACATTTTCTTCTCAATGCAAATGAATAATTCTTTGGAACCCTAATTTTATCATCGATTTATTTTCACGAACTTATACTAATACTGCGAGCAATGCAATTATTTGTTGTCAATGTCGTAAAAGAAATGTTTCCAATGAGAGAAAAAAGTAAATTACATTTCAATTTCTTAAAAACAAGATTCAGTTTGGGAGCCTGAACTTTAACTACAACTGACACGTCGCCGACGAGGGCTTCCCCCCTGACGAGGGCGAGTTTGCTGAAGAGGAAGTCGAGGGACATGAGCGAGGTCTCCGTCACGTGCACGTACCCAGTGACCTCCACGCCCTCGCTGAACACTGAGTCCAGTAACTCCAACAGCGAAACTGCATCGACATTATTAGTAAGAAATTCATATAATCAGTGTTAATTTATTATTTTTGAACAGATTGAACGATTTTTTACCATTAATAATAAAGAAAACCTCCACGCCCTCGCTGAACACTGAGTCCAGTAACTCCAACAGTGAAGCTGCATCGACATTATTAGTAAAAAATTCATATTGTTAATTGTGTAAATTTATTATTTTAAGAATATATTAAAGGATTTTTTATAACTTCGACAACCCGACAACAGTGAAAAAATTGTTCAGAAGAATATACATGAATGGTTATGACCATGAATATGTATGACCATTTGTAGAAGCATGAGGCTTAGTATGCCGGCTGCATTCTCAGAGTGAAGATTAATGTTCGTATGTTGATTTCTTGTTTATTCAACTGAAATGGTATAGATTTTAAACCTAGATTTATTGATCTTGATGTATTATATAACATGATTATAAAAGGTTTTATCTGCAAAAAATATAAAAATGTTCAATTTATTTCTTTTTGTACGGCAAGCGGAGATGTTTAGAATAAATCTGCACAAATTCACAGTAAAAAACGACCATAAACGTTTGGGACGCGCCGGATTATACCGCTACCTAGTACAACCATTGAGGGCAGCCACGTACCATTAAGGGCAGCCACGTACCATTGAGGGCAGCCACGTACCATTGAGGACAGCCACGTACCATTGAGGGCAGCCACGTACCATTGAGGGCAGCCACGTACCGTTGAGGGCAGCACGTACCATTGAGGGCAGCACGTACCATTGAGGGCAGGTAGCCACGTACCATTGAGGGCAGACACGTACCATTGAGGGCAGCCACGTACCATTGAAGGTAGCCACGTACCATTGAGAGCAGCCACGTACCATTGAGGGTAGCCACGTACCATTGAGGGCAGACACGTACCATTGAGGGCAGCCACGTACCATTGAAGGTAGCCACGTACCATTGAGGGCAGTCACGTACCATTGAGGGCAGCCACGTACCATTGAGAGCAGCCACGTACCATTGAGGGCAGCCACGTACCATTGAGGGCACCATTAAGCGTCACGCTGCCGACGACCCTCGTGCAGTTGACGGGCAGCGCCGCCAGCGCCCCGCCCTCCACGTTGCTGCCCAGCGTGATGCTGCCGCAGATGCCGTCTGTATGCCAACACATCGTATAAAAGAAGGTGCTCTGAATTTTATAAGACACAACTAAAGAACACTGATGACAAAGGTACAACACTGATGGATTAAACGTCCATCAACATGATCATAGTTCATCTGTATGGTGAAGTGCATCCACGGACCCTAATTATCAACTAGCATTTCATGGTGACTCGCGTACTGCGTAAAATTGTGAAGAATAGAGAACAAGGTACACTAAAAATTGAAATCTCAACATATGTTGATTAACAATACCATTCAGTTGACATGATGAGTGCTAATTCAGTTAAGGGTTTAACTCATTTGTTCGTCACGACGCCCCGAATAAAGGCTCCATATTTACAGAGTGAAGTCTAGTGTAAGGCTGATCATGGAAATGGTGCACCAGGACTGTTCGGAAATAATAAGTTCAATTTGAGAAGGAATGGCGCTAAGAATCATCCTATTTGTGTTAATACTACTCGAATACCTAGTCAATACAACTATATTTTCGTATTTTTCTGCCACAATGAGTCGACAGTGACCGCGGGCGCAACTCACTGCCGGTGCGTGTGCAGTGCGGCAGAGCGTCGCCAGGCCGCGTCTCCACCACCCTTCCTGCTGGGCAGTCCAGCACACACTGCATGCTGTCCTTCTTTAGCCGCTTGCCCCCCACGAGCTGACACTGCCTCTCCGTCAGGCAGCGGTAGCCTTGGTACTGTGGTATGACAACATCGGTCCATTTGAAGGCATGGTACTGTGGTATGACAACATCGTACCATTAGTAGGCATGGTACTGTGGCATGACAACATCGGACCATAGTATGACGTGACATGACATTGCTAATTGGCATGGTAATTTGGTATGACGGTATAATATTTGAAGGCATACTGCGGCCAGGTAAAAACACAAGGTTCCCGCAATTTAAAATATCAAATAAAACCACTTTTTAAACTTTTTTGAACATGTCATCGTAAGTATTGCTTGATTCAAGTAATGGAGCATTTAAAGAACATAAACGATCATACTTCAAAGATAATCACGCACACTCGAAATAAAATATTTGTACCCACTGCAGACGATGAGAACAAAACAGTACTAAAGTAACGTACCTGCATGAAGTTTTCGGAACATGCAGGGACGCAGACGCCTTCTTGTGCGAAATTTTTACACGCCACGCAGGCGCCGGCATCACCAGCAGCAGTGCAGCCGGCGAGGCACTGCGCGTGGCAGCAGCCAGACGTACGTATGCGCCCAGCCGTCGCGCCTGAGTCGTTGGTGACCCGCAAAGGGGATGACAAGGCGCACCCGTTGTGACAGGAGCATTTCGACGCCACTGCACGGTTAGGAAATAATTTATTAAACTTTAAGATGGTGAATGAGTACAACATTCGATCGCATGGTGCTAAGAATCATCCTTGTGTTAATGTTACTCGTATACGCAGATAATGTGACTTTATCTTCGTCCTTTTCTTTTCTGCCACCTCTTATTTTTTCCCTTAAGTGCACACATAATGACGATAAGGAAATTACAGTTTAGTTACTAAAAGTGTCATGAATACCTATGATTACTGGTGCTTCTGTGACCCTGGAGCTGCAACTTATGAAAACTATTTCTACCTTCCTTAACCTCCCTTAAAAGCTGGGTATCAAAATGCTTCATGCATAATAAAACATTTCTATCCCAACGAGACATTTGTTTTAGTTCCTTACTTCTGACCTCAGCACGTCACTGATGGATAAGTTGTAGGAAAGAATATTTGTCCTCCAGTTCTTATTTAAAACAAATCTTCATGACTTTCGTTATGTATTCAATATAGTTCGCTTCTCACGTAAATTTAATTGTATAATTTATTTGAGTTCAAGCTTTTATGGCCCTAAGAATTAGACGAACGGCACCGTAAACTTTTGTTCGAACAAGCAGTTCCATAGAAGGCCTCACCGAATTGTTTGCAGGAGCGGTCATCGAAGTGGCAGCCATGCTTGTCGTACTCGCAGTACACGCCGTTGTCCTGTGCCAAACATTTATATTTGAGTGTAGGCTAATATAAGAATAAGTTAATGATAATGATACTATAATAATAAGTTAAACTTTTTCATCTCTTCGTTTACTGACAACTCTCGTTGCAAGGATTTAAAGCTTGAATATCATTTGAATCATTTAAACCATCCTCGCAAAGCGGATTGAACAAACGAGGGACTTGAAAAAATTGATGAAGCACCATGAAAAAGATGGCATAAAGGAAATGTTTTGACGATGACAGATTTATCTAAATTTTAATAAGAAAGTGAAACTATAAGTGTTACAAGTTCAGGATTACTTTCGTCTTGGGGACGGAAAATTTATGAGGTGCATGATTAATGCCGCTTCATCGCTAATATTAATATATTTTCTTTGAAAAGAGTAGAATTATGATGCAAAAAATTCCATACCCGATTTATAGTTTATTGTTAAATTCGGGGAAGTTCGGGAATGTAAAACTTTCACATAAAATACGGAAGATAATCACGAATAGTGATTACCTTGCATTAGTGATAGGTACAAATATAATGGGTTCTTACGACAGAAATAAATCTAGGTTAAACGTACTTAAGAGAATGTCAGATATCCACATAAGAAGATAAGTTTCCTAATAGATAGTATAACAAAACGATTGGCTAAATGAGAGTCTTAACTTCCATGTAAAATGTATCGTGTCTAACTGCGACTAATTATCATGCTACTGGCCTCGTGTAAAGGGTTACTGGGACCTTCCATGGCCAGTAGAGCCCATATGCCAAAAGCACAATAAATAGTAGCGGCTAGTATGAAGAAGTTGTACTGGCCGCCACTACTGGCCCCGTGTACAGGCAGCAAAAAGTTAGTTACCTTGATGACGCCGGGAGCGACTGTGAAGGGAGGGATCGCTGGCACACACAGCTGCCAGTTCTGTCTGATGTCCAGCCCGGTCTTGGGCGACCCAAGCGTAAACCCGGGGAGTCCGATCTGACAATGGAGTTAAAAGGTAAATAATTTCAGCTAAAGAAAGTGAAATATTTTCACCGAAGATTTAAAACAGTTTCGTTGATTTCTAAAAAAAATTATTCGATCACACTTTCTTCTTACTTTTCCAGTCTAACTTGTTTCTTCCTTCAAGAAAAAATAGATAAAATTCAGTGAATTAATGTGATGAAGGGATTTAATTATTATAGAAGAGGTCAAAATTCCCGAAAAGGTTTTATCCGTCGCTATCATCTAATTTGTCACTTTCGCTTTCATTGTTTCACGATGAAGAATTTTATATTCAATGCTGGCTGTTATCTCTGCAATCTCATCAAACGTAAAAAAGCTGTTTTGCAAAATTTGAAGGCATATGTCTACTTTAACATTGTTGACGATTCTACACTCAATTCAGATATTTCCTTGCCTAATTTTCAATTTGAGTTTCATTCTCGGTGACATGAATGCGCTTATGGCCCTTAAACCCAATTTTTAATTTGTTACATATCTTTGTTATCGTATAAAGTGTTCAATCCTTCAAACTTAACGCTAAAGCTAATATATGGGCTTGAACAACATTACACTTATGACTTCAAGGCTATTGCGCATTTTTACTACAATCATAGCAATAACTTGAGACTCAACATAAGAAGATGTTCACTCAGCGCATTATTCATAGAGTAAGAATAGGAAGGTTCACATGCATTGACTTGCCTCAACGAGATCCTGGTTGTTCCTGAGGAGGAAGGCAACTTCCCCTCTCTTGCCCCTCACAACACGAAGCTTGGGGAACAAATCCCCTAGGCTCTCTACCCCCGACACGTGGAACAAATAAACGCTCTCCTTTACCTGCACACAAAACCTCATGAAAACAACGTCATGAAGATGTTAGTCTTAGTCTTAGAGCATTTAAACATTTCATCGGAACCAATCAAGCGTAAATTATTCAAAACAGCCCTCAGTGGCTTATAAAGAAATTCTAAAGTGTCCAAAACTCGTAATATAAAAATGCTCACAATTCCATATAAACCAATTCAAAAACGCCCTGAAAGCGGCATAAACAAATAAGAAATGCCCATAACACGTCATAAACTAATTAAAATATCAACAACACGTTATAAAACCGTTCAAAATTCCCACAATTCTTCATAGAGCACTATAAAAATCCCCACAACTGATTACAAACCAATTACCAGAAACGAAACTCGCGAAATTTTATAAACTCAACAATTGATTGGCAGGAATATTAAATAATCCAAAGTGGAATTGTGTTCTCGATAAACAAAGTGCCTGGCTATGCCGGTATTGCAAAGAAAAAAATATACCTCAGAACCCATGTGCAGTGAGTGACAGACAGCGCATTTTCTCGTCGACGAAAACTTGAGGTCACGGACAGACGGACGGACAGACGGACATGGCGAGCACAATAGTGCATTTTTTCCATAAATGAGAAAATGCGCTAAAAACAGAAGATTCACCTCAAATAACGTCAATATTTTCCTTCAAATGGAGCTCATAAATCAGCAGAGATTTTGATTATAGGAAATGACATGGCAATTCATAAATGCGATAAGGTGGAGCAGAACCGCGAGGCAATTGCCGAGTTTCATGAGCCGGAAACACCGTAATGGCAGGCGCCGGGCGTGCAGGCAAGAGCCGTAGGGGATCTTAATGCAGGAAAGTCGTTCAAAAATTATGTGGAGACGCCGTCTGCGTCTGTCGTGATTTGCAAGCATCGCAGCACAGCCAATGAACGGGGCTAATTGGGGCTTGAACATGATTTGGAACTTAGAGACTGGCGGTACTCAGTTTTTTCCCCTTAAAAATTTACCGAAAGCTTGTTGAAATACTGTTCTGAGTCATTTGTGAACGTCAACTAAGAATCAATGATCCCATTAATTAAGTTTATGAGCATGACTGGATAAGGTCTCAGTGTTGACTTAATCGGAATCAGAGTGAGAATTACGTTGAGCAATTATATGCACCGAAACTTACTTTCTTAAATGCCATTTTTCGCTATTTGTACCATTTATATTAACATTTCATCCCCCAAACTGGTCGAAATTTTAGCCCAACATTTCAGGTGCAATTCCTGATCGTGAAATACGTTATTCATTACACAAGCACTGCTGACTAGCAGGGCCTCCTGTCGAGTGTATGACCGGCGCAGTATAGCAAGATTCAACACAGCGTGATTGCTCCTGCGGCCAGTCTAAACATCAGGCGCCATTCTTTCAAGACATGCTCGAGTACACAGCATGGCAGCTTAGTACACATAGCAGCCCAAGTACACGTAGCTGCCTAGTACACGTATAGCTGCCTAGTACACGTAGCTGCCTTAGTACACGTAGCTGCCTTAGTACACGTAGCTGCTTTATTACACGTATCAGTCTTTGTACACATAGCAGCCTTATTACACGTAGCAGCCTAAGTACACGTGGCTGCCTTAGTGCACGTAGCTGCCTAATTACAGGTAGCCGCCTAAGTACACGTAGCAGCTTGTGTAGCGTACAAGTACATGTAGCGACCTAAGTACGCGTATCGGCCGATTTCTCGTCTGTGATTGGTGTTCATAGGCTTAGCCTAAAATGCCGTCAGTGATTGGCTGACGGAGTTGCAAACTCTTAACTATTTTGATAGTACGGTCCCATGTTATTATAAGGAGAAAAGAAACTAACTGGTTCAATGCAGGGACATGCATTGTTTACGCGTGCGGCTTTCAAGTTGTTCAGAATTCAATACTTCTCAAAACATTCAAATATTAGTAGCCATCCAAGTATTAAATTCGATGCCCATGACTACTACTGCAAATAACAACCGTCCAATTCTGAGTGTTCTGCCGTCAACAAGGCCTCGAATGTTTGATGTTTTCACTTCAGCGCAGCGCAAACACGGCAAAAAATGCATCCAATTTTGCGACGGATTTCCTGCGTAGAAGCTATCCATGGCAACCACATTCTCTATTGAGTATTGCTCCAGTAATTCCATGGTCTTGAATGCTCTTCTTTGACCATTCAAGCCATTGGATGCTTGAGACTAATCAAGTAATTACAGCTTTAATACAATTATTTATAAATAGCTGCAAATATGCTGTTCGTGAGCGTTCGTGAACGCGTTCGTTCTCCAGCCCCCGGACCGCCCCCATCACCTCTGCCAGGAGGGACGTGTTACTATGGGGCATAGCTGCCCCCTTCCCAACTACTCGTTTTGGTATCCATGAGCCACCCTCCACTCCACCTCATTTTAATACAATTGCAATTTTTACTCGTTTTTATACATTGAAAAATACAATCAGTTTAACCCTTAGCCTACGGATACATTAACCGACTTCAATGCTATTCGTACCTAAATGCCTGGCCGAGAGGTCCCGCCAGTACACCAAGAGTTAAGTCCGTCGAAGATTTTACAGGCCAGTGCAATTTAAACAAGGCCAAATAGTCGAATTTCGGCCGGAAAAATACTCATCTGGCAAGACTGGTGCCAATCTTCTTCAGGAGCTTCCTTAGTATCTCCAGGTGCACAAGCTCATAAGAAGATTCCACTATAATTCACTAGCACTCTCTTCTACAGCTGATCAAACAGGTACAATGGAACAATAATATTATATAATCCTCTACTGCTCACTTAATTTGAAATCCATACACGGATAAATTATTAATTGTACAACTCATAAATGACATTGTTAGTTAATACATTAATTGACCAAAATTGAAGATTACTAAGAGCGGTCACCTCGACAAGGTTGGGCATGAGCGGCATGTCTCGAGGCTGCGCGTGCACGATGAGGAGCTTCACGTGCCCGTCGACGTGGGTACAGTCACGCAACTCGTGCCGCACGTCATCAGGCACGTGAGTAGTCAGCGTGATGCTGCTGCAAACTGATACACGAGAATAATTAGCATATTAATGGATGCGTCATCATTCAAAAATGTTTTTTATTTTTCGGCGTCTCACTTGGCTGAAAGTGGCATGCAATCAGGAGGTGATTTATCAAATAGCATACAAGTCCAAACAAATATATTTTGCATAAAATATACTACACATAAAGTCATATTTACTATTTATAACGTTACGGCAAATCACATTAAACTTGTGAACAACCGCGCAAACATATAAATTCATGACCAGCTCTAGTCATGGAACAATCGAAACCAGCCTAACATCGACATGATCTCACAATAGCAATAATCACAAACTAAGACCTAAAGGTAAATATTTTTACGGCTAAAATATCAACACTCACCAACCGTGCCGTTGCGGACTACATGCTTCGATACCGTGACTTCCGCAATAACAGGTATCAGGAGAACCACTGAAGGCAGCAACAGCTTCAGCCACGATATAAACATCGATGAAATGTAGAGGCACAATATTTGCAGGAAATCACCGTAATATTTACCTTGGACCTGTTTCTAGGAAGGCAAAAAATCGGTCCTGAACTTGTTTCAGAGAAAGAAGCAAATGGTTCATATGTCTTGAAAAAAGTCAAAACGTTTCTTTCTGGAGCCTACAAATTTGGATTAAAAACTGGTTAATAAGGAATAACAAAGCCAAATAAATACCATTTCTAGCATAACAAAAACTCAAATTTGCTTCTGTTTTATTAGAAAGTGTAAAAAATCTTCGATCATCAATTATGTTACTGAAGAATTATAGGATTCAGCGTTACGTCAAATTATTGTTATTTGTTCTCCATGGACAGGAAGACAGCCGAGTGTAACATGGGTTGTTCACACAGAAAATGCGAGATTTAATTTTGTTGCTCTTGACGCGAATGTGCTGGGGTCGTTAATATTTCATTTTTTGTATGCGATTCAAAATTTTTCTTTTCACCAGAAGAAAAAATTTTTCTTTTTACCGTGTGTAGTCGATAATTGTTTGAAGTGCTGCGGACTGCATGCACGAGTCTGGGACTTCAACAAGACCTCTGAGCTAAATTAATAATATTTCTTCTTCGTGAAAGTAACAGAGGACATTTTGCAGATTAAACTGGACATGCAACATTCAAGTAAGGGTATTACAATTTGTGTATCCATTAGATGTAATGGAGATCTCCATTAGAATGTAATGGAGATACGTACGGAAAATATGTGAAGTATCACTGAATCAATGCCACTACTGTAACAACGAGCTCCGTTTTCCTATTATGAATAAGCGCTGTTTTAAGAGGCGACACGCATACCAGGCGCTCCCCCGTTTTTTTTCATCTGAAAACAATGTAGTTGTACGGATAGCGAAATCAGTATTTTTTTCCAAGAGAAATAGGCATGAACATGACCAATCGATTTTCTGGCAAGACGTAAGTTGGGATTGGGAGGGGGAGAGGCTTCCTTATTCCTTACACGAGTGGGGAGGTTCCGCGTCTGTGCCCAGACGAGAAGGGGCAGGGCCGGGCATGAAACGGGTCAGGCGATCTGCCTGGCAACAGCGGGGCGCAGGCGATCAATGAAACGTCTGCGAGTCTGTCGTGTCGGAGGGAGAGGGAGAGAGGGTGGCGGTGTTGATTGAAGGCAAGACTTAACATTGATTCTTGTAAACAATCGTTCAGTTTCTGGCGTAGTAACAGCCAACAGCAGAGCATATACGCATTTTTACGAGAGCGTCCATAGTTAGGGATAACCAATTAAGTGGACATAGAACTGTCTTTTGTTTAGCATGACACGACGATTTACTGAAGAGAATGAGCACACGTGGCATGACAGCCAATTAACTTCGCAATGATGCAGACACTGTGAAAAAATGTATTGCTATTTCTTTTTAAATGAGTAAATAATGTACATATATATTATAAAATGTAACAAATTCTTACGAGTGCCACGTAATATATGCCAATGTAAAATATATTGTATGTATTAACACGTATATATGCGAACAGCAGAGTGAAAATAATGCTAAAGACATTCGCACTATCAGAACTGAAACATTTCGAAGTTTCAGTCAGAAATGTTCGAGACTAGCTTCGCCCCCAATTGCAGCCGTAATAAGTCATAAATCAGCTCTGTGCGATGAGTATCATGGATACAGGCGTCCAGGGTCTCGAGGTCAGACAGTGCAGCGTTTCCGACAGTGACATGCATCCTTCCAATCTCGCCCCTCCATGCAGGAGTCAGCTCTCAGGTTGAATCCTTTCAAGAACTCAATGCGGGATGGAAGCTCTAGAATCTAGATAAACATATATGAAGCAATTTAAGAAATTTATCAACTTTCTTTTAATCAATCCCACTTTTCAATTGAATTCTATAAATATGTACTTTCTGAACGTAACAATTTGAATGAATGAATTCACTTGGCTCTCACTGGCAGGGAAAAATTAGCATCGTGCACGGTATAAATAATCTACGTTTAAAAATTACTTATTAAAGGCAACACTTCTAAAGAATCCAGTGTCTCCAATGTTAAAGATATACAATTAATTTCTCATTTTATTTTCGAATAATAAAAAAAAAAATTTTCATTTTTTTTAATATATAATTTTTTTTTTTCAAATTTATTTATTCTGTCAATTAATTCATGCATTGCCTCCGACTTCACACAAGTGTGCAAAATTTCAGATCAATTGGAAAGGTAAAAGTGTGTCATATATCAATTATAAGATTTGTAGCTGCCAAAATTATTTTTTATTTTTTTTTAAATTGGAAAAAAAAAATTTATTCGTAAAATTATTTATTTTGTCATTTGATTCATGCATTGTCTCCAAATTTACGTAAGTGTGCAAAATTTCAGATCGATAGGATAAGTAGAAGTGTATTAAATTTCGATTACAAGATTCGCAGACAAACAGACAAACAAGAAGTGAAGTTAAGGAGACGTGTTGTAAAAAACTTACAAATACATGACGATCGTCAAAAAGTTCTGACAACTCACGCACACGCGTCATGTCATGAGGATGAAAAGCTTGCGGATACTTACATTTCACTGAATTCATTGTTGCGTACCTAATTTTATTTTGAATCAATCAACTGCGAGCCTGCGAGGCATCAGTCCATAATTTACTGGGACTTAGTTTACCTAATCATGCAGGGCAGCAGCGGCTGAGTAGGAACTAAACTACCTTATTTATGACATTGATGAATTTCCCAACTACAAACGGAAACGGTTAGTTAATCAAGAAATATAATTGCAATAATTTATTTTTTAATATTTGTTTATTCGTTTTCAACTTCAAATTTTGCATGCAAATTTTCTGATAAATCATTTAAATGCATTTTAGAGGCAATTTGAACTACAAAATAGATTGGACAGAATAGAGATGAGTGATGTAGGTCGTTTTCTAATTTCTTCACTCCTGGTATTCTAAAAAAATGATGCACGATTGCAACGTGACGAAATTTTTGCACTCGACGCACCTGTTCAACAAATTTATTCAGTTTCTTTCGAAAACGAATTTGAACTTTGAGCCAAGTTGCACCTCCGAGTCGGTTCAAACTTCAAACCAAACCTAAACATTTATCAAATGCACAAATCTAAATCTTATTTATGCCGAGCAGCGGAGTGCGAACCTAGGTAGCCTACCCTGTTATCCCCGGCCTCCTCTTGTGAAACACATTACACAATTAACCCATTTTGCATTCAAGGATGCCCACACAATATAGGATTCATGGTAGGTTAGTTGTTGTAGTTGGGTAGTGCGCATCGAATGCTCGATGGAGCGACAGTTTCACTAATATTTCCAAATTATTTATTTGAAAAAATCTGAAGAGTCAATGATCATTACGACGCAGAACTTGTCGCCTTCTAGGGTCAACACACATACAAATTACAGCGATTATGATTAATAATATATGAGATTCAATTCATGCATCGTCAAAAATAAAGATAAATAAAAAAATATAATTTTATTATTGGGTTCAATGCAATAATCTCGGCAAATTATTCATTCCCTTTTGATTTGCAACGTAAATATGCCTGTACCTTAAAGTAACCGTGGTTAAGGCAAAAAATCGGCAGCCCACAACCGCCATATCCATACACATCAACGAATGCTTGCGCACTGAGTGACTGAAACAGTTTTTCTCGCCCCGCCGTCTGGCTGCTGGCAGCGACGCCGTCCATTGGCTGCATTGCAGCATTGCGACTGCAAGCCACTAGCCAGTCGACGAACAAACAACAGAAAAACTTTAATTCTGGATCATCTAACGAAATAAATATGAATACTACCTTTCAAATTTAATTTATTTCCAGAGATCATGATTCCGTAGTGTGTGAGTTCGTAGTTCAACACTATGCAATTCATTGATTTCAGTAACCATAATCTGAAACCATTTCACCTTGAAAACTTAGAAACAGACGGCACCGGTGCTTGCAGTGCAAGCAAGCTCGATCGCTGAAAGAAAACGGTGGCTCCTCAATGATTTAGACAGAGACTGAAATAGCAGGTGACACTGATGTCGAGAGTAACGTATCAGCGTTACTCTCAAATTGGAAGCGTTACTCCCGAATTGATCCATTAGAATTGGATTATTTGACTGCTTAAATTTCAAGTTTATCAAGAATTTAAAAGCAAATAAAACAGCCTAAAAATTCACCATTTCTTATGAGAGAAAACGATTGATCGAGCAACAAATTTCCTTTGTTGAATGGCTCCGCGTAATGAGGGACACCTTGGTTGTCTTTGTCAGTCCTGATTCAAGACCAAATCAGTGGAACAAAGTCAAAAAACGAAGGAAAATGAACTTTGTAATTTAGTTCTGAACTTCGGAATATAGTTCACACGTTTTCCAGTTTTATGAGTGATTATCTTCAATTATTTGACCATGGCGAATCAGAAATCAGTCTGTCTGATCAAGTTCAGTAATTGAATAATTGTGAGTGATACGTATAATATGCAAAAGTGTATAGGGATTTCTTTCTGGCTTTGGTCTGGATAGCAGGCTGAGTGATTTCCACTAGAATCTTAGCGACGTCAAGTTCTATGCATTTATAAAACATTTCAGTTTTCAGGAGGCAAATTTTATTTCATAATAAGCATAATTTGTTCGTGATTTCTTTAATTTCATTACCGAAACACAGTTTGATAAATCCTGTTGTCTACGAGGAGAATTGACGGAATAATGGATAAGCTGAACATAATCTGTATCATTATTCTGTTTCAGCCACGTAGGAAATATTTCATACCTCAGATATCATTCTTCACAATAATTCCTGTGAGGAGAGAAAAAATCAGCGCGATTAAGATCGGGTTTTATTTCATTTTGAGAAAATTTTGTAATGCGATAATTGGACATTTTGATCCCATCGGTGATTTTAGCTTTAAAGAAGGATGTCGGATGTACGTTGAACAATAGTTAGGTGAGCACAATAATTGCCTTAAAGTCTAAAAAACACATTTGCATTTCCAAAGGGAAAAATTCTGCACTGGCATGTTGCATGTTCGCCCTCAATCCTCAACAGCTAAATTAATAGTAAAACTAGTAGGGGTTTTCTTATCTATAAATAACATACACAAATCTGGTAAATACGACTAAACATACATCATAAATAATTTTTCTGGATTAACATGAAAGGGACGATTCTTCATAAGAAAACATTTGAGACATTTCAGTCTACCAAAGACCAGAAATGCTATATGATAGTTGGAAATATCGTGATGATATCGCGAATGAAACGGAAAACTTTGAGCCTCGATGTCGGGGAATGAATCAGTAGGAATAATTTGGGACCTTGTAGGAAGCGAATGAGAAAGGATACAAATGCGAACAAACGACTGTCCAAGCGTTACAGGATCATTTACCAGCGACGGTCACATCAAGGAACGAGTGGTAATTGAGTACAGTAACGAAGAACAGTTCATTATCAGAGTCATTTGTACGTAGATTATTTAATGCACTTATGATTTTAAGTTGCTAGAGTTTCGAAGCCTAATGTTTACGAAAAAATATCGTCACTGTATCTAGTAAAAAATATTCATCTGACTAGAGAGCGGAGTAACAATTCTATCTCGCGTCAAGCCGGCCCAACACTATCATGTGCAGCCTTGGTCAATCACCCAATTAAACATAAGCATAGAACTTTTTCAAAATTTGTATTACCAAATGTTTAAGAATTTAAGTGCTAGAAACTTGACCCCTGTAATGTTACTGCAATGAAAGAATCTTATATGTGAATTACGAAAAAGAACTTTGAAAATTTTCAACAATAATTTGCCAAAAAAATAATTCATGATTAAAAACAAGTCTATTGTTTCTCCGTCCTTTAAGGTCCGTTGACGATGGAAAAGACGGTAAAATTTGTGGTCCGCGGAGTTATCTACCTTAAAGTCTGAGCAAGTTTCGTGCCTACGCAGGACTGAGGCAGATGCAGGAGAAGCTTTTGACGCCAAGCATGACTGATAGTTGAGTAACTATGAAGAGTTGCAAGACAAAAACTTGCCCTTACTCACGTTTTCATTTCTTTTTGCCTAAAAGATAGAAAAGACTCCGGCATCATACAGTGCGTTTTTTAAGAAGGAATTGATTTAAGCACGTCTTGTGAGCAAGGTCGTCGTATCTAACAGTATACGCACAGTTCCCAGGTTGTACAGCGCGTCTTTCATTGACATTGAATTTTTTCCGGGAAATCAAATTAAAACCCATACGTTTTAATAAATGTTTTAGCCAATCGTTATTCAAGTTTCAAAAAGCATAGCCAACATCAAATTTTCACCCGAAATTACGGTTTCGTAAAATATAACTATAATTTGTGATTATTTTTCGCGCACTGCTCCTGCATTCCCGGTTGACAAAAGGCACCAATATATGAATATTATTTAGAAATATGAATTTCTGAAAATGGAATAAACTTCTTGGCACTTTCAGGTTTTGAAAATCATAAAGAAATATGTTTTTGACCGCATGTGATTAACAAGAACTCCAGGACTATGAAAATTCGACTAAAGTATTCATCGCCTATTGAAACGGCGATGTTGTATAAATAACTTGATATGCGCGATGCGGTGCAGGGCACCTGTAAACATACAAGTAATAAAGATCATGATAAATGCAGTCATCAGCCATCCATTGATGAAGTGGCACATAGAAAAGGAATGAAAAATGGGCGAAGGGCGTCAGAAAATGTAAAGTGAAGTGAACAATGAATGCTATTTTCCCTTCATGCCAACACGCGCCATTTGATATGTTCTTCAGTTTAACATTAATCGAATGGAATGAATTCAACATGTCTCACTTTGAATATTCTTCTATCACATAGAGCTCTTCAATTGTTAAAAAGATTATGAATTTCAGGAAAGTCTCCTTTTTTCAGGAGACGTTGAGATATTATCTTACTTTCAGCATAAATAGACTGATGTTTCAATGCACAGAAGATCGCCATTCTGAAGAGTGCTTCTGAAGCTGAGCTCAGGCTATCATATAATAAAATATTATTTAAAGATCTCTGTTCGATACCTCACGAAAGAGGCACTACTTTCATGAGATCATGTAACACGGCCACTGCACATCGAAAATAGTACCTACCTATCAACCTGCATATAGTTGATATATATGATATATATATAGAAACCTACCAACCTCTGATTAACTTATCTAATCATAATGAATACATGTGTTTTCAGGAGACGTTGAGATAGTATAATCCTTAAATTAGGGTTAACTATGCTCTACTCAATAGGTCTATAATAAAATCCACTTTACAAAACCAACGTAACTTTTCTACCCTGCTTGTTGCTATTTCTATTGTTCCTGAAATGCTGTTCCCCCATTCTGGGGAGAGGATCAGGCGCGAATTTGACATCACCTCGCCATTGTCTAGAACTGTCGTGAAAAAGTTCTGATGTGACACCACCACCACCATCTTTTCTCACTAAAATGGAAGCCGGTAGCTGCCCAGAGTCTTGGCTCAGTTGAGGCTGACTCGTGTTACTCACACTGCGACCTGATCCTAATGCAGCAGCTCTTTTGTGATAAGCTTCTTGCAGAGGAGTTGTTCTACTATTTATGGAATGAAATGCGTAGGGCTCGGCCAGCAAAGGATTTGTTTTTGAATAAAAAGTTTGTTTTTGTGAATACTGAAGAGGCCCGCGCACATGCACTGCCTCAGGGGGAATGCAAGCAGTGTTTTGAGACCTCACATCGTGAGAATACACGAGCCTTGATGGTTGGCTAGGATAATAGCTATTTAAGCCACCAGTGTTCTGAGGAATGTAGTTCTGCTGATGAGCTGGCTGGTGCGCAGCTGCATGCGTCATTCTTTGAGGAGGGCCACAACTGTAAGCCAGACCTCGCGCAGCGCTCAAGGAGGTCATTCCTAAAGTAGGCACGGAAAAATTGAACCGATTTGATGGGCCAGACAAGTATTTGTACCGAGGGTCAGTATATTGTACATTGGGTCCTATCAAATTTGGTGCAGGAGTGTAACGACTAACGATCACATTTTGGGACTTGGTCAGGTTGTCATCATCCATTGGACGCTCGTAAGATCTATGGACATTAATATTCTTCAGAGAAGTAGAAGTGAACGAATCACCGAACCTTTCGCTCGGGAAGGCGCCATCTACGCTGCTGTAAGTGTGTTCATAAATGTGAGCGTCAAATGGCTGAGAGTAAATGTTCTCGTAATCAGGCAAAGGTTTTCGAAAAAAATGTTGAGAAGGTCGCCCGCCACCAGAGCTCTCTGGCAACTTTCTTCCGACAGGATCCAGGCTGAATGAGCCCTCTGGAAGTTCTATCGTAGTGTAGTTCACCCCATCAATAACGTTACTGTAACTATTTGGACTTATTCTAGAATACGGACTTGTAGAAAATTGTTGTTGCTCGGCACGAGTACGCTGATCGAGACTGCTGCCGTAGCTTTTCGAGTTCAGTCTCGGCACACGATCTAGATTGCAAAAATTTACTTCTTCATATCTACTGTTCTCGTCAATATTAGCTAAACTGCGGGTGTTCATCCAAGACATGCCGACGGATTCCTGTTTAAATTCATAACTATCGTTAAATGAAGGAATACTCTGACTAAAATTTCGTCTCTCTCCGTTAATTTGACTCGTTCTATTTTTATACGAACTGCCTTCAATACTCAGGCTATTACACTTACCAAGCAAAGGTCTATCAGGTTCCTCGTCTATAGTTGAGTTTAACACTGAGCTCTTTGCTCTGTAACCGTCTACAGCCTCCACACTTCTGGTCCTTCTCTTAAATGCTTCGGATTTTCTGATAGCCGCTGAAGACATCTGACGTCGACCTAAGGTCTGAGCGCCAAATTTTGAGTCGTGGTTTCTGAGCAAAAACTGGTCCTCCTCGTTAGCGCCCCCGACCAACATAACATTTTGCTGATCACCCATAGAATAAAGCTGCTGATGCCACTGATTATTGTACTGGAATTGGCTAGGTTCTCCCTCAATATTCATACGATCAGTCTCGTACGTTGCTCTCGCACTCCTTTGCGTGGGCTCTGAGTGCAGGAACTGGTGACCAGCAGAGACGGTAGGGTAAAAATTAGTGACGTTTGGCGATGGCCAAGTTAGTACCTGCTGGTGGCTGCCGCTACTGTGAAGCTGACTTTGATGATAAGGAGGAAAACTTTGAGTTCTATTTGATTTTGTGGGAAGAAGGGGGGAATGTTCATCAGGAGTACAGTTAGAATTAAATGTGCTTACTAACAGATGGCTAGTCTGCCTTAGAGATGCAGAATTGGGCACGTTTTTGTCAGAATTTTCAACATTATATCCTGAAGAACATGCTTCTAGCTCGGCTCGCAGTGGTTCAGTAACTCCGTTTGGACTTCCATTCGCCTTATTTCCACCATTATCTTCAGTTTCACTTTGCAACTGTTCTAGCCTCGAGGCGAATGCATCAAGATCACATTCATCTAAACTCTTATTCTTCGTGGAAGTAGATTCAAGCACACATTCATCCGGTCTGTTTTTCAATATAGCCTTCCCTGGGTTGCTCTCCATTTGCATTTCATTCTTGGTGTAGGCAGATTCAGGCAGACTCTCCCCCAATCTTTTACTCAATACTGCAGCCTCAGGATTGTTTTCAATTAATATTTCAGTCTTGGTGTAAGCAGATTCGGGCACACATTCCCCTAGTCTTTTCCTCAAGCTTGCCTTCCTATTAATGTCTTCAATTGCCTTATCATTGACCATGAGATTACATTGCGGCTTCTCCGTACCATCCCCACAATGACTCGCGCCAACTTCAATTGCGACCGAAGCAGCGCCTTCGTTATTGGCTGAACTCGTTTCATTCACTTGCTTGGCTGCTGAAGACCTGGTGTACCTGGAAAGAAATCGACCTCTTCCAGGAGCTCCAACCGCTGCCGTGTCCTCCAGTGTAGACTTAGAAAAGATTATGAACTCTTCAATGGCGCCTCTCGAAGAATGTTTACCTTGTAGCATGGAAGGTGGAGGCAAGACTGACGGGGAGCGTGCGCTTTTTGTACTTCACTTGTACTGTTCGCCGAAGCACGTAACGCAGCGTCTCCAGCACGAGAGGCTGATGGAGATGAGGAGCAGGACCGCCGTCACGGTGTACACGAACAACAACTGCGACAGGGCGAACAAGTACACCGTCTTCGAGCACCTGAAACATTGCATAGCATGAGTAAACATGAACAATAATACTTTGAACGTCGTTACTCTAAGCGGTCGGCAGGAGCGTTAACACGAACATGTTGAAATGAAGCCAATGGGAGACAATACTGATAATAGGGACAGAATTTTAGAGTAATTTTAATAAAAGGTCGACTTGCATTAATTTTATTAATTTCTTTTTAAATTTCATGCACCGAATATTGTAAGTTCTGAATATTTGTTAACAAATAAAGAATTTTGCAGTATCTTTATCATCAAATTTCGTCACAGTTAACGATAAAGTTGAGATGTTCAAGAAAGATAAACAAATATTCTACAGAAAAATATTAGTACACTTCGAGAAATGGATGAGTCATGTTGTCCAAACAATGATACACTTTCTTAGCCGCAGCATGTTCAGGGAGCAGGCGTAGCACTGATACGCAATTTCACCAGGTAAACTGAGTTAGGAGGAGCCACACAAGGGCAAAATGTGCATCGCTTTCTGAAAAAAGTCTCGCTCATTACTCTGAGTATATGTTGTGTAGGAGGACTTAAATCTCTACGAATCTAAGCCCTCGAAGTCGTCATCAGACTCGGGCTATGCAACCGACAGATTATGACCTAAGTCTCACCAATCGTTGGGTTGGAAGAGAGGCGCTTCGTATCTGGGCAAATAAATTTTGTAGACCCAGTAATTGCCGAGACCGAACCATACGACGAGGAACACAGACAGCACCACGTCCGTCGCTCGGTAGCTGATGGAAGTGAATATCTCGTCCAGGCCGTCGTCGGCGAACGCGTCGTCGATTCTTTCGTAGCGGCGAGAGCGCACCTGTACATTTAAGTTAATTATGATAGGTCTGGTTTCCATTCATTAAGTAAAATTGGAAATAATAATTATTTTGCAAGAGCTATATCTCAAATTGTAACTATCATAAAGGGATATGACTGATGAAGTGGAACAAACGTGGACAACATTGAAAACACGAACGAACCAATTCACCGCCCCTTCGTATACAACTCGTATAATTGATCATTTAAGCATTTTGATTTATTTAAGTGAATAATGATTTGATATCATTCTTGTACGAGTATAATATTGGGGTACCGATTTCTCTGCAATTCATTAAATTTTGATCCCAGTTTCAACATTAGTGTTTAACCCTTGTTCTGCTACATTCGTACATTCAGTCATTTATCCCTCTACCGCCTGACACGAGTAACCATAGCAGTATTGTCACAAGCCGTCTTCTCAAAAACGATACATTCTAGTGAGCACAAAATGACTTGCACTTATGGTTGCCGCCACGAAAGACTATTTTAAAATGTTCTCTGTTGCGTACAAACGTCATCAGGTTGCTACACTCAATAGTTCACGAATAATTCGAGTTGAAAGTTCCCAGAGAGTGACATACGGCGGTAGAGGATTACCAATGATTAAGTCATTTTTTATAGGTTGTTATATTGTACCAAACACAGTTGAACGAAACAGGATAAGTAAGCCCCGACCACACAAATCACCTGCTGGCATATGAGCCACATGCCCTGTATGGCATCACACAAATCACCTGCTGGCATATGAGCCACATGCCCTGTATGGCATCGCACAAATCACCTGCTGGCATATGAGCCACATGCCCTGTATGGCACCACACAAATCACCTGCTGGCATATGAGCCACATGCCCTTGAGGGCACCAAACAGCCCCCCCACCAGGAGGTATATGGGGATGTGAGGCTCGATGGGACACTCGTGTAGGTACTGGATGCCTGCGGTACAACATAAGAATTAGCAAAGAACCAAGTATGAGTATGGATAAAACTGATATGAATGAGTGTATGAGTGTGGATAAGACTTAAAATAACAACTGATTTCAGAACCGGTAATGCAGGAAATTGAATGTAAAAAGGAGCCTATATTTGAAGATAATAATTTATCATCGTATAGACGCCAAAATAATAATATGCGTTAAAAATTACTTTTAAAAGACAACATTTCTGAAGAATCCAGTGTCTCCAATGTTACACATGTACAATGAATAAATTTCTAATTTTATTATCAAGTATAAAAATTAATTTTAAATTTTATTTTTTAAATTAAAAAAAAAATTTCGAACGCATTGTCTCCGACTTTACGCAAGTGTGCAAAATTTCAGATCGATTGGAAAGGTATTAAGTGTGTTAAATATCGATTATAAGATTTGTAGCAGACAGACAAACAAACAAGAAGTGAAGTTGTAGAGAAGTGTTGTAAAAATGTGTATGTCGTGAAAAATTTTCTGACATATACATTATCTTAAACAATCTGAAGAAAAATCAATTCAACAAAAGTCATAATTCCCTTAAATAATACAAATTATTCGCATTGCAATAATTACCCAAAATAACCATAAGGAGAGGCACTGCCATGGACACCATCAGCAGGCCTGTGGTAAAAACTGCACGAAAATGAAAAATTATTCCATTATTTTCGCATTATTGAAATTGCTGTTGGTTTTAATATTCCATCTCACTTGCCCACGACCATAAATGCATTTAAGACTTCAAAAATGACGATGAAGCGACTTTTATAAAGAGAAATTCATCAATATTAAATTGCCGAAAAATATATTTCAGTAAGGTGCTAGGTTCCGAAACACATAATTCTCTCGGGTACACAGCAGTCACGAGCGTGCAAGCAATGAGGGTAGCCTGCTCACCTGTCCTGCCGAGAATTTTGAATGCCTTGAAGACGAAGGCGAGGGTGGAGGAGGAGTCCAAGTTAGCGTCGCGCATTTGGTAGGCGATGGAGCCGTACGACGCCATGACGTGACTGGTGCTTTTTACAGGCAGGGGGATGCTGGTGAACAGTTGCTGCCGCTCTTCCAATGCAGACTGCACATGAACAAGCCTTGTCAATCATTAATTAAAAACTTGCTCTTATCTCTTTAATACATGCATTTGATGTAGAGACATGTAGACATCTTAGAAGCGAGACATCTTATAGAAGCGAGACATCTTACAAGCGAGACATCTTAAAAGCGAGATAAGCCACCGCTAAGAAGAAAAAAAAGAAAAAGGCTGCGATACATGGCCTATTGCTGCAAGTTCGGCCGCTAGGAACAGTATTCGGCCGTCACGACGGCCAAGGGCGTCCGTGATGTATAATGCTTTATTCCGGCAACCGTATCATCCTGCCGCTCAGTGAAGCGGTTTAGTAGAAAAGCCCCAACACTGATGTCATGCATCGCATTGTGCCGCGACTATTGTTCAACAATCGCATGAATAACTCGTCGCGCAAGGAATAGATTGTGCATAAATTGCATAATGGTAGAAATAATAGTCTGCAAGATTATCAATGTCCATTTTGTAAGTCAATTAAACGGAGATGCTTTTCCAGTTCACACCGGAGTATCATTCAAGGCATTATTCATATACATTGGTACTGTTGAATGGCCAGGTTACAGGTGGGGCTCTCTGTGAGGTTATGAGGTCTTCCGTCAGGTTATTTGTGAGGGTTTCAGAATAACTTGGTACGTTATTACTTCTGGCAAATGAGCAGCTCGAGCGCTGCTATGTGAGGAAGCACTACAGAACAGACGCGGCTCAAGCGACCTCAATGTAAGCCATCGGAAGCTCCCGGTGAGAAGATGATGAGGCTTTCAGAGAAAAGCCCTCCAGAAATTTGGCCAGTACAGTTCCCTTGAGATGGCAGCTGAACAAAATCAGAGGATATCTTTATGAAAAACTTGAAGACCACAATTTACTGAGTTCATGATTCACTGGGCTTGAGAATACGAAATACTCGAATTTCAGATAATTCGGAAACTTTTTCATTTCATTTAAATAGGGCATTTTACATCTGGTCCCTGATTTATATAAAGTCCATTATTAGAAAATTATATTTTGTGCTATGAAGGCACATTACTACTGAATTAAATAATCAAATGAATTGCAGAAAAAATCTATGAGAAATTTTCTCGTAGAAGCCTAGAACTGAAACTGAGATTCGTATGGATTACCAAAGAAAAAAATAGAACCTAGAAAATATTTACGAGCGAGGCAGCTCACATGACTGGAAAATCCGGCGTCGTTCGGCAGCGCTAATAAATATAATATAATTCGAGACTTCGAGCCCCTCGAGAGGTTCGACTGAACAAGGAGAAAATTACGATACTGGGGAATCTTCATTAAACATTAGAGTGGCGAGTCGATGACGCCTAAAATAACTTCATCATTATCACATAACGCCAAAGCAAACCATCTTTCCCTTAATGTGTGCAGTAAATCATACGCAAATTATAATTTGCGGCCGAACACAGAGCTTATTGAAGGCAACTATAATGTATATACAGCGTCTTATTTAGAGTCTATTAGAGTCTATTAGGCCGCAGCGGCGGCTTTCATCCAGGCTTTGCTGCAACAGGGCACTTAGACCAGCTGTGCGCAGACTGGCCGTACTCAGACCGGCTGTACTCAGACCAGCTGTGCGCAGACCAGCTGTGCGCTGACTGGCCGTAGTCACACCGACAGTACTCAGACCGACAGTACTCAGACCGGCCGTACTCAGACCGGCCGTACTCAGACCGGCCGTACTCAGACCGGCCGTACTCAGACCGGCCGTACTCAAACCGGCCGTACTCAGACCGGCTGTACTCAGACCGACAGTACTCAGACCGGCTGTACTCAGACCGACAGTACTCAGACCGGCTGTGCTCAGACCAGCTGTGCGCTGACTGGCCGTACTCAGACCGACAGTACTCAGACCGGCTGTGCTCAGACCAGCTATGCGCAGACTGGCCGTACTCAGACCGGCTGTGCTCAGACCAGCTGTGCGCTGACTGGCCGTACTCAGACCAGCTGTGCGCAGACTGGCCGTACTCAGACAGGCTGTGCTCAGACCAGCTGTGCGCTGACTGGCCGTACTCAGACCGGCTGTGCTCAGACCAGCTGTGCGCTGACTGGCCGTACTCAGACCGACAGTACTCAGACCGACTGTGCTCAGACCGACAGTACTCAGACCGACTGTGCTCAGACCAGCCAGAGTAGTTCGTGCAGTGGCTCTTCGCGTGACAGAATTACGGCTTACGGCTCATGAGGGCGGCGGTGACATGAGTGGTCCTGTGAAGTGCAGCTCCTCCTGTGTAAACTGTACAGTGTGTGATGCAACTGTTGGCTGAGTACTCTTCAGTGGATATATACCATTCGAAACATTGGACTAAGACAAGCTTGTTGAAAATACAACGGTTATGTAGCTTCGGCTTATCAGGCCTCAGAGTGGCATCAACGCTCCCAACATCTTTTAGAGGTGAAGAAACCAGACATCCAGACAACGTTTCCCTAAATTGAATTAATGCCTTCAAATTTAATGAAAACTTGAAGTATTGATCCCTCCTGCTTACCATCAATGGAGCAAATAAAATATTGTATCTTTCTAGTTTTTGAGACATTTAGGAAAATAGTCGTAATATAATTCTCATTGATATTTACCATTGCATCTGATTCGCCTAGAAACTGTAAAATTTTCCGGTGAAAAATACGTTCGAATATTCTGAGAACTATGTCACATGGAAATTAATAACCGACAGAAAATATCATTTATTCTACTCTACGCGTCAAAGTATAATAAGGCGTCTTGAATGAATTAATATATTCCCCGGTCTCGGAGCACAAACTTACAGAATTTACCCAAGACACCCAACAGCTACGCCACTAACGGTAAAAAAAACGCTTAAATAAACGTTGTTTCGTTGAATCAACGCTAATTCAACGTTGTTTTAAGGTCATTTGCCTGCTGGGGCAGAGCCAGAGATAGAAGAAAGTTTTCTCTTCAGAGACCGCAGAAGGAACCGAGGTTTGTCTCGGGACTAACTTAGAAGCCCTGGAGGTAAGCGTCCTGCTCTAGCACAGACAAAGCCACACTGCAGTTTGCTGGCAATGGAGGAGGAAAATGTTATTAGACCAGACACATATAGAAGTTATTACCAAGAATATATGGTCGTTGATGCGACATTAGAAGAGTAAAAAATTAGAAATTATTCATTATTGTATCTTTGTTCGAGAATTCACATGGGACATATCTTGACTTTAACGCAATCTGAACATATTAGTGCACTGCACTACTATTACAGCAGCTAGTATTTAGTAACAAATAAATTTACGTTTCCTCGCCTCAGATCTCACCCTTTCCCTCAAGTCGTCATTCTAAGTATCTGGCAATTAAGAAATAAGATTGTTAACCAATACTATATCCTCTAAGTAATAAATAATAGAAGTAGAAATTATAAAAATCAATCTAGTCACCAACGCAGCTGAGCATCACATCAGATGAAGCTTCTTAATTAGGCACGCAAATGGTGACAAAGTATTTCGATCCTACAGCCAGGATCTCTATTCTAATGTAGCCTTTTATTGAAGTAACATACAAAAATTATGGATCATGTATTTCACGAAAAAAAATGAATAAATAAAGAATTTTACAGAAGCTAGTGACCATAAATGTGCGGCCAACAAAAATAACTATACTAGCACGAATTTTGAATAATAGATGTATGAAAGTTTGTTTCACGGGAGGAAGAGTTTAGGTAGTAAAACGCTATAACAAAAAATGACTCGGCAATTCGAAAAAAATAAAAAAGCAAAGTAAAACTCTGGTATGTATAGAATGAAACGAAAGAGCATGAAATTTCAACACATATAACCAAAACTGCATTGGACTAAACAATAAGAACATAATATTGTATTATTGTATCAGTTTCACCTTAAAAAAGGTCCAGATAATGCGCACAGTTAGATGCCCGCCACCCAATGGATATCTTCAATCCCGCCACTCAATGACCAATTTGACCATTTTAAAATTTCACACAATAGAAATCTTCGAGCTCGTCACTCAACTGATCTCTTCAATACCGCCACTCAATGGGTATTCTCAAGCCTGCCACTCTATGGATCACTCTAATCTTGTCGCTCAATTGATATCTTTATGCTCGCAACCGTCTAAAAGCTGCGCGAAGAAACAAACGAGACATCCTTGCAAACTTTTCTTACAAGTAACCACTTACAAGTAAGCCAAAATTTAAATACTGCATGTAACTGAATTACAAATTCTCGTCAGTATTATTAAGGATTCTAATTCAGATATCAAATACGAGCACTGATTGGTAGGCTGGCCTGGAATTATCACGTGTAATTTTTCTCGTGCGTCATGGCAAGCGCGTGCATGCGTGGAGTGGAAGCATGAGCAAGGGACTGGACTCTGGAGCGGCGCTCGAGCGTCCTGACATTTGATCAGCAGTCGTCACTATACGCGCCTCACATGCATTATTCTTCCCCGGCATTTGGCTGACATTACCAGCCTCTCTTGTAGCACCCGAGCGATTCCCATATCAAAGGTTCTTGTCCAGTTCATCAGAACACTTTAAACACTTGCTATCATGCACTACTTGATGAAACATGTCTGTGGTGATTGTAAACCAATATTATCCAAGTTAAAGTTTGCCGTTCAAAATAGCAAATTTTACAGACCAATAACGTACTATGCGAAAAAAATACTCTACTTAAAAGGAATCTACCGCACACTGAGTGACGTCAAACAACGCGGAGTAAAAGACGACGCAATAGTCACATAATTCAAAGATAAAACATTCAAATATATTAAATAAATGAAAGATCCATGGCGAAGAGCGATATTCTTCAAGGTCGCTGGACTGAAGACAGTTGAGCAATTACCGCATCACGCACAGTCCAGGAGCTAATCGATGACATTTTAATTCAATTGAACTGAGATTACAGTTCTGTTCAAGAATGTACAAATTATGAACAGTATAGATGAAATTATATTTTTAACTTGAAGGGTTTCGTTGTAATCTTATTAGGGGTTTTATAATCTTGGAGGT